GATTCTAGGGTACTGTTTAGCAGGGTAGAGACAGTGATAAAGATAGAGAAAGGGTACCATTCAGCAGGATAGAGAGAAAGATAATCTATACAAAATTGCCATGGTTCCCTATTGCTTGAGAAATAAAATATAAATTATCTATTGATATATTTTCCATGGTACCCCATCGTAATCTGAGGATCTATATAGATATGCAGACATCTATATATTGATGTCTATCCATCTAGCCATCTATCTTTCTCATCTATCTATTGATCTATGTATCCATCCATCCATCCATCTGTCCATTCATCTGTCTATTGATATAGATATCCTGCTAAAAGGTATATCTACATGCCCACCATTGGCTTTCCGGAGACCCTTGCATTGAGGAGCAAGCATGGCAGCTGGAGCACTGGACTTGGAGCTAAGAAGACCTAGGTTCAAATCCTGGTGTGGTCACTTACCATTTGTGTGGCTGTGGCCTCCTCATTATCCCTATAATGAAAAATTAAGAGATTGGATAATCTCTGCGGTCCCTTCTAGCTCTAGCTCCATAATCTTATGATCCTAATACATGGGTTCAAATCCCATGTCAGACCTTTACCAGCTGTATACATCTCAACATCTCTGACCCTCAGTTTCCTCTTCTATAAAATGAAGATAATCATAACATGTACATCCCCAAGTTGCCCTAAGGCCACAAATGAGATAACAGATGTAAAGTGCTTGGCAAACCTTAGAGTGCCATATAAAATGTGAGCTATGATGATAATGATATCCATAATAAATATTTCTTGAATCGGATTACACTGAGTTTAATTGAAGTAAATTTGACTATGAGAAGGAAAAAGAAAGAATTACTGGGGCAGATTCCTTCATGGCTCTGGTATTCAGGTCAAGGTGTGCCTGTAGCTACCTGGGGTATAAGTCAAAGCAGAACCTCTCAGACTAACGGTAACAGCTGCCTTTGGGGACTGGCCATAAACAAAGGCTCTTAGCCTCTTACCATGGCAAAAGCTATAATGAAAGACTGAGGAAAAGTAGGATCATCTCGTGGAGAGCAGCCAGAGCCACCCTGCTGGCCAATCTTTCCTGGCAGCAGACAACGTATTGTAATTTTCCTTTCAGCAGGAGCTGAACCAACACCCTTGCCACAGCAGCAGCTATATGGCACCCACCTTAACAGGGGAAAGTGAAGTGAATTTTGTAAACAAGCATTCTCTCTGGTCTTTGAATCATGGCTAGGATGGGCACAGAAGGAAAGAGCCAGAGATTTGGAGCTGGAAGACGTGGTTTCAGATCCCGGCTCTGCCATGTGTGACATATGACATGAAGGACATATAGGACATGTGACTTTGGCAAGTCACGCTATCTCTCTGGATTCAGTTTCCTCATCGGTAAAATGAGGAGGAGGTTAGATTAGATGATAGCTAAGATTGCTTAAAATTCTGAAATCTAAAACCATGATTTTGTCTTCCTTCTTGGACAAGCAGGGATTTGCTGCCCCGAGCTGGCTTGGCTTGGTGGACTGGAGAGGTTTGGTCAGCCTCCAAGTTGGGAATGCCTGGGTCCAAGCGCTTCTCCTGCCATGTACTGACTGGGTGACCGTGGGTAAGTCTCCTTACTTCTCGGTGCCCCAGGCAATATTCCAAGGCTGTACATTGCATAAAAGGTGCCAACCTGCATTGGCAGACAGCATTCTTCTCCAGGAGCTCCCTAAACTGAGGAAATCATTGGTCCAGTTTAAACAAAAAAAAAAAAAAGGAAGAGGCAGCTGGGTGGCACAGCAAATAGTTCTGGCCTTGGAGTCAGGAGAACTTGAGTTCAAATCCAGCCTCAGACACTTAACACTTACTAGCTGCATGACCCTGGGCAAGTCACTTAACCCCAAATGCCTCACCAAAAAGCAAAAAGTAATAAAATAAAATAAAATTTAAAAAAAGGCACTTTAAATCCAGCCAATTTGATGTCTCTCATTCCTGACAGATCAATCACCGACGCCTCACTGTAAATGATCTTTTCTAGAGACGGTTGGCACACTATTGCAGGAAGATTTGCAGATCGAGTAATTAACTCCATAAATGCCCTCAGATCAGGCTTGGTCTACACTAGCCAAGGGAGATAAGATAATATAGCAAAGAGAGAGCACTAGACCTGGAATTACAAGAGATCCAGATTGAAATCCTGGCTTCAACACTTCCTAATGATGATGGGTTATTTTATTTCTCAGTTCCTCAGTTTCCTTGCCCATGAAATGGGAATAATACTCATACTATCTAACTCAGAGGTGTCATGGGATCATAGGTCTAGAGCTGGGAGTGCCCTCAGAGGTCAGCCATTCCAACCTACCCATTTTACAAATGAGGAAACTGAGGCTGAGAGAAGTTAACTTAAAATCATAAGATCCTAGATCAGGAGCTGGAAGGGATCTCAGAGGACACCTAGTCCACCACTCACCATTTTACAGATGAGGATACTGAGGCCCAGGGAGATTAAGTGGAAGTGATTAAGTGGATTTTGAACTCAGGTCTCAAGACTCAAAGTTGAGCACTCTTCCCACCACTCTATTCAACCCCACTGGGAAATACTTTGTAAACCTTGTCAACTGCCATAGAAACGTAAGCTGCTGTTACCACTTTCCTTCACACACAGGCTTAGTATAGAGCAGCTGAAGACAAAGGACCAACCACAGATCTCCATTCCAAACCAGAGAGGATAAACATTAAAGAAACAGAAATAGAGGGTTCAAATGAATGTGAACAGTTTATTTGAGACTCAGTAGAAGGACAAGCACAGGAGGATACAACCACATTGATGAGATTTACAGCATATCCTGGAGTAGGGGACGGGTCTACACAACTAAAGAGACACCTTAGAAGGAGGCGAGCGAGTTAACCTAGCATTGTGAGTAGTCCCTTCTAACTAAGGAATGTCACCATGGCCCTAGATCTGTTTTTCCTTTTATTATCATTATTTTTTCCTTTTTGGTGAGGCATTTGGGGTTAAGTGACTTGCCCAGGGTCACATAGCTAGTGTTAAGTATCTGAGGCTGAATTTGAACTCAGGTCCTCCTGACTCCAAGGCCAGAGCTCTATTCACTGCGCCACCTAGCAGGCGCTAAAAAAATTTTTCTTAAGGGTGTCCTTTCAGCCTTCTGAAGAACAGTATTAGCAGTTATCCTCTTCTGAACACACACACACTACCTTCAGAGAAAGCATAAAGGATCATCCCTGGCTTCAGGATGTTTCTAACTAAAGGCAGAGAAATACCATTTATCTCCTCAGACGATTTCAATTGCTGTTTGGGCCAGGAATGATCTTTTCTCCACTTTTTAGGAAGGCATATGTGATACTAATTGTTACTGAAACTTCCATCTCTTCCTCTCCTGAGGAGATCAGGTCCACGCAAATCCTGATGAAGATACATTTTCAAACCTAGCAAGAAATGAGGCCAAAACACAGTCCCTCCTATTGCAGCCTTCTTTAGACTTCAATGTGAGCTCCTTGAGGGCAAGTACTCTTCAGGTTTTGTCTTTGTGTTACTGGTGCCTAGCATAGTACCTGGTATAAAGTAGGTGTCTAATAAATGTTCCTTGGAATAGATGACTGAAGTCATTGCTCATCCCGCAGACTATTTTCTTATTTGATTAGTATTTGAGACAAACATTGATATGTACAATGGAAACCATACTGGATTAGAAGTCCAAAGACTTGGGATCCAGGGCCATCTCTGCCATGTCCTAGCCATATGACCTTGGGTAAGTCACTATACCTAATCCTCAATGTCTGTAAGATGGAGATGGAGATATCCATCCCTGTTCTGTCTACCCCACTGGGTCATCATAGGGCTCCACTGAACTAGCAGATGAGAAGATGCTTTGCAAATGGGCCAAACACTAGACAGGAACAATTAATAAAAGAAGGGTGAGGGCTGGCCACACCCGTGCAAAGCACCACCTCAATGCTTAGAGATTCAACAAAGGACGATGGTCCTTTTATTCCTCACCAGCAACCTGCAGGGCACTTGACTGAGTAACCTTGGAACAGTGGCGTGAGTGCATGCCAGAACCTGACCATAAACTTGAGGCTTTGCAGAGAGCCCTACCCTTTGATACGTAATACAAAAACCACACCTGGGCTTCCTTCTGCAGTAAGAAAACAGGGCCAGTGTCACTACTATCATAGCATTAACAGAGGTTCGCAAAGCACTCTACAAATATTATCTCATTTAATCCTTATGGCAACCCTGGGGAGAAGATACTATTATTTTTTTTTTTTTACAAATTAAATAACTGAGGCAGGCAGTGGTTAAATGCCTTGCCTGAGGTCACCCAGCCAGGAAGTATATGAGGCAGGATTTGAATTTGGGAGGCTCCCAAGCTCAGACTCAGGGCTCTATCTGCTGTGACACTTATTTGTATTTACTTACCTTTGACATACTGCTCCCGTCCCCCTTCCCTCCAGGATGTAAACTCCTCGAGGACCTGGGCTGCCTGATATTTGCCTTTCTATCTCCAGTGCCAAGTACGATATCTCATGGGATCATAAATATAAAGCTAGAAGGAAACTCAGAGGCTGACAACTCCAACCCATTCGTTTTACAGATGAGGAAGTTGAGGCAGCTGAGGCTGAGAAAGGTAAGGTGATTTGCCCAAGGTCACACAGCTTAGCTGGCACATGAATATTTGTTGATTGAATAAATGCTATCTACTCCACTTGACTGGATTTGTGATTTTTTTGAGTGTAGGAACTCTTTTCCACCAATGTAGACCAACACCTCCTCTGCAATTTATAATCTTAGAGAATTCTTGGAGAGATTGATAGGTTTTAGTGATTTGCCCAAGGTCACACAGACAGTGTGGCAGGACTTGAACCCAGGTCTTCCTGCCCTCCAAAGCCATCATTTTATCCCCTACACCACACAGTCTCTCTTGAGGCCTCATTAGCGAGGGCAATTTTGCATCCTTAACCTAGTAAGTCTGAGGAGTAGAAAATAAAAATAAATAATGACCTCTGGGGGAGGACTTGTTATGCAAGTCATTTTTTATTGATGAAAGTAACACTTATTAATGGTAATATTATGATTATAAAGGATCACAGTTCCGTTCTCAGCCAATTTAAAGAGTATGTCTGGAATCTAGAGTATCTATATTTGTTGCAAGAATATGGCATTTAAAAAAACCCAGTGATTTCTCAATGAGTCAAAAATCAGTCATTGCCTCATGCAATTAAAAAAAAATGAATATTTCAGCAAACAGCTAAGATCCCTTAAGAGATTTGGTCTTAAAAGTAACCTGCCAAGACCCTCATCCCATTTCATCTACAGATAATTAGGAAAAGGAAACATGTTAAGACACCTGCCTTGCAGAAAAGTCTAATGGCTCAGCACACTGGATTCTCTGTGATGAAGAGGAGTTTACTCTAACATGTGCTGGAGCACAGAGGGGTCGACGTCCATGGCCACCAGCCCCTTCTGTAAGCTCTGGATAGTTGCCTGGCTCCCGTTCTTCTGCCTCCACTGGACGAAGGCTTCCACGATCTGAGACTGCACGTTGTAGGGGTGGTTAGCCTTGCAACGGTAGATGTCCCTCTGGGACAGACCCAGGGACAGCATGATGGGCTCCCACTCGGGGCCCAGCTTCCTGGCCAGCTGGTTGAGCTGCCGGTCAGAGGGTGAGCTCTTCAGAATGTGGGAGGGAAGCGAAGATGCCTGGTCACCTGGAACGGAAAAGTGAAAAGACAGACAAAGTCAGGGAGAAAAGATGTCCCATCAGGCATCCAGAGCCCATGATTGCAACCTTAATGTAATTTTCATCCATTTACTGACAGATTATTTATTTGTCAATTTATTGAGGAATCTTTTGGTTTCTCCTACCTGATCCCTTCTTTCCATTGACACAACCATTACCCATTTCCAGGCCCTCTCTACCTCTCATCTGGGGAACTGGAATAGACCAGTAATTCATCAGGGAAGCTAAGTGGTAGCACAGTGCATAGGGTACCAGGCCTGGACTCAGAAGGACTTGAGTTCAAATCCAGCCTCAGACATTTACTAGCTCTGTGACCCTGGGAAAGTCACTTCACCCTGTTGGCCTCAATTTCCTCATCTGTAAAATGAGCTGGAGAAGGAAATGGCAAACCACTCCAGTATCTTTGCCAAGAAAACCCCAAATGGAGTCACAAAGAGTTTGACATGACTGAAAATAACTGATCAAAAACAAACTAATCAGTCTCCCTAATTCTAGCCTCTCCCCACTCCAATCCATCCTCTACTCAGCTGCCAATGTTTTAATCCAAAAGTACAAGGCTGACTATGTCATTCTCTTAATCAGTAAACTTCAGGGACTTCCTGTCACCTCCAGGGTCAAATAAAAACTCTTCTTTGGGTATTTAGAGCTCTTTCTAGCCTGGCCCCATCCTACCCTTCCAGCCTTACTGTATATTTCTCCCATTCACACACAATATGGTCCTTTCACACCAGCCTTCTTACTGTTCCTCATCCACAGTGCTCCATCTTGGGTCTCTAACTTTTCACAAGTAGTACCCCATGCCTTCTTCACCTCCACCTCAGAGAATCCTTACTTTCCTTCAAGGTTCAGTTCAAGCTTCACCTTTTACATGAAGCCTTTCCTGATCTTTCCTGATTCCCTTCCCACCCTCCAGGGGTTCCCCCTCCAAATCACATTGTACCTACTTTAGTCTATGCAGCTAAGTTTCCATTAGTACTAGTGAACAAACGTCTGCATTATTTGAATTTATGTTATCTGAGGTTTTAATTACATGTAAAACAGAGTAATATGTTCCAGCCCAATGGAAATTTGTAGTACAAATTTGGATAATGCAACCTTAAATGGTTGGGATTCACTATTTGTACTAATCAGGGTTGTCCCAAAAGTTTTAGTGCAGCACAAAGATTTTTTTTTTTTTGGGGGGGGATGCCCTCTACATTCATGTTACCTCCTCTGGCTAGATTATAAGATCCACAGGGTCATGGACTGCTTCTCCTTTGTTTTAAAATCTCTGCACCTAGAAAAGTATTTGGAAAACATTTGGGGCTTAATACACATTTGTTGACTGACGAATAAATGTTCTTGCTTCCTAGGTGATCACAGGTGACAGACAAATGATCACACTGTGGCTCTTTCAGTATCCCAGGTTGGAATTCATTTGAGTCAGGAGACTGCTGTCTTCCCACTTCCTCATTTATCTAGGTTTTTGAGCCCTTGAATTTGGAGTTGGTGCACCTAGGTTCAAATCTAGGTTCTGACACACTTAGGAGCTGAGTAATAGGGGCAAGCCACTTTCTTTCTCTGAACCTCAGTTTTTGCATCTGCAAAATGGGCACAACCATCCTCCTAGTACTTTGCATTAGGACTTGAAGAGTCCTGGCAGCCCGGTATAAATATAAGCTGCTTATTTGACTGGATGGCATGCCATGTTTGAGCAAGCTGATCAGCTCAGATATCTACCAGCTTCTCCATCAGACAAATTAACCCTCAGCCTCCAAATGCCCAGGAGTTTTGCAAACTGGACTGCTGTCATTGGCTGTCAGGCCGAATGTCTGGAAATAAAAGAAAAATACTTTCAATGGGAAAAACTAATTAGAACTTACTGTTCTGGAGGATAATCGCAGGGAACGATCTGGCACTGGCAGAGAGAGGATAAATTAAACTGAGAGGTCTTGCTAAATCTGATCTCCCCCATGACCACATTGGGAAATCACCATGATAGTCATCAAAATGGCAAATGATGGAATTAGCAGGCCAGGGAAGGGCAACCAGATCTAAGCCCAGTTCAGAACACAGTGGGAAGCAGTGGGGAGGGAGGGCATGTAGTCCAGACCGCAGACCATCTTCTTCTCCCTCTGCTCCACAGCCAACCAGTTCTCAAGTATGTTCAATTCTCCCCCCCCCAAATCTCTCACATCCTTTCCCTTCTGTATCCTCTGTTGGCTTTTAAAGTCTTTATGAGCTGGTTCCTTCCTCCCTGCCTAGTCTTCTTACACCTTGCTCTCCTCCATATCCTGTGTGATCCAGTGACAGTGCCTTTCTTGTTCTTTCTCACCTCTCTCTCTCTCTCTCTCTCTCTCTCTCTCTCTCTCTCTCTCTCTCTCTCTCTCTTCTTTCTCTCTCTCCCCTCCCTCTCTCTCTCCCCCTCCCCCGCTCCTTCTCTCCCAACTTCTTTCAAATCCCAGCTAAAATCCTACCTTCTATGTGAAGTCTTTCCTGATCCCCCACTAATGCTAGTGTCTTCCTCTCAGATTAGTTTCCCTATCATCTTCTCCCCACCTTGGCTGCATATAGTTGTTTACATGTTGTCTCCCCATTAGGCTATGAGCTCCTTGAGAGCAGGGCATATACGTTTTTATTTTATTTTTCTTCTTATCTCCAGCATTTCACATAGTGTCTGGCATATAGTAGGTGCTTAATAAGTGCTTATTGACTTGCCTTGTTCAGGCTCTCATCATCTCTTTGCCTTCTATTAGAATCAGCCTCCTAATTGGTCTTCCCATCTGCCAACCTCTCTCCCTCTCCAATCCACCCGCCACATAGCTACCAGAATGATATTCCTAAAGGACAGGTCTGACTGTGTCACTCTTCTCCCAAGGAAGCCTCCATGGCTCCCTACTGCTCCTGGGGAAAATTACCAAGTCCTCTGCTTAGCATTTACAGACTTTACAATCTAACTTTAGCCTCTCTTTCCCGGCTGATTTCAAATGACTTGTCTTCATGCACTCTCTGATCCAGCCAAACTGGCCTGTATGATACTCCCCTTTATGCAGGTGTGTGCTGAAGGTGGCTCAGATGGGCTGTTAAATTTTCTGTGTGAGCATCTGCACCTCAGAAAGGAGCAAACTTTGCAAAGCAGGGCTTGAGAGACTGTCTTATTGATTGTCTAGACTTTTAAAAAGTGATGGAAGAAGCATTAATGGTGCAGATTAAACTTTAAAATGTGTTGAAGGGACTTTTTTTTTTTGAGAATCAGTTGTTAAATATTTACCAGCACACTGCAGCTTTGATCCTTGCAGCCCCAGAACCTAGCACAGGGCCTGACACATAGTAGGTGTTTAAGAAATGCTAGCTGGATCACACTGAATTAAACCCCTGGCTACCAGATTTTTCTCCTCTTTAAAACAATATTCATTATTTGCTTGTGATTTTACAGTTTCCCCTGAGACCTGGGAAAGACCTTAGCTTAAAAAGGCCACAGTTTCCCATTGCATCTTGGGCCATCTTCAGTCATCTTGATCTAAATCTGACCACTGGACCCAGATGGCTCTGGAGGAGAAAGTGAGGTGGGTGACTTTGCACAGCCCTCCCTCACTTAAATCCAATTCACTTGTAAGTCAAGACATCGCTTTCCTGATGTCATGGTCCTTTTCAAGAACAAAGGACGAACAATGACAATAGTTTCATCCCAGCTGGTCTCTCGGGGAAAGACTGGGGCTTAGGTTTCTGGTGAGGGGTTTTGCTTTGCTTTTTGGTCCAAAATGGAAACCAAAGAAATGGCTTTTGGCCATTCATTTGAGTCTCTTCTCCTCTGAGCAGCCACCTGGATTTTCTGTATATCAAATATCTCCAGCAGGGGCGAGAGCCCTTCTAAAGTGGATTTTTACAAGTCACTAGGCTGTGCATTTCCTATCCATCCCCCTACTTCTAGTGCAGCTGCATCAGTCTGTCATTAAACTGAAATATTCATTCAGATGACTTACTATGCAAGAGAATCCATTCATTTGTGTCCCCTCTTCACCCTCTCCTAGACTTGCTGGTCTCAGGAAGGGCAGATGGTCTCAGTTTACTTAGCTCTTAAAGGAACTGCAGGACAAGATTGGGGAGTTAATGGTGAAGGATAAAAAGAAGGAAATTTCCTGTTATGACAAGATATGATAATGACCCAGCTACAAAGGGGCCAAAGGGCTCTTCTCAGCTGGGTCACAATGAATGCTTCCCTACCCACTCACCCTTGTATCAAATTCAGCGGATTCATTTTAACAACTATGTGTCTGTCACACACAGTGCTAATGAATGGGGAGACGACAATGAAATAACACACTGTCCCTGCCCTGAAGGTTCTTAAAGATTAATGGAGGGAGAGGGAATCTTTAAGTGTAATGTGTATATGGGAGTGGAGGGGTATATGTGAAGAGATACTGTATGTATAGACATGTATACATTGTACACAGACAGGATACTTTCTTCATTCATGGGAGAAGGAAATGGCAAACCCCTTCAGTATCTTTGTCAAGAAAACCTCAGATTGGGTCACAAAGAGTCAAACACGATTGAAATGACTGAACACACATGTGTATATGAATATGCACATATGTATATACATACACATAAACATACACAGGTATACAGACATATATGTACATGTGTGTATGTATATCATACCTTCCCTCCACTACATTTCATTATTTCCTGTCCCTGTATTATATATAAACACACATAACATACATATATGTAAATATATGTTTTTATGCATAGGGAGGTATATCACAAGTAGAGGGAATTCCTGGACGAGGAAGCTGTTTACCAAAGCAGATCAGTGCCTACTCTGTAATGTATAATCTTAGAGAGTTATGTAGAGCACTGTGGTGAAGTGACTTGTTCAAGGTCACACAGCCAGTATATCTCAGAGGTGGGACCTGAAACCAGGTCTTCCCAGCTGTTTTTTTCTTCACTACACTATGTATAATTATTGATGATGATGATGAT